TAAAAATACACTATAATAGTATATTTAATTTTATATTTCTTGAAAATTCAAGAAAAGATGCATAATTTTGGATTTTTAATCAAAAAATCTAAAATTAAGTATTTTCTTTTGAATTTTAAAAAATTATAGTGGTTTAAAAAATAAAATAGCTTATTTTTGAGTATAATTCTTTCAAAATGCAGATAATTTGCTAAATATAAAATATAACATACATAAAATTGATGTAATTTTGACAAAGTGCTAAATTATAACCTTATATTAAAATTATTATTAATTTGCTAAAACTAAAAATTGGACTTTAGGTCAAATTTTTGACTTTTTGCTAAAGTGATAGTATTATCTATATGAGAGATGTCCGGGTTCCTGTTTCAATTGAAGCCTTTGATGGAATGTTAATCCAATCAGCTGGGATTTGTTTGAAGTAGTAGTGTTCTCTTAGGAGTTGTGCCGTTTCAACTAAGACTTTGGGGCTTGTAATAGGTTTGGTTATGTTGACCAGCTTTACCTTATCAGCAATCAAGAGTAGTTCTGGTTTATTTGTAGGATTAACTATTATGTATTGCTTAGGGAGGAGTAGAGTGAAGTAGTACTTGTTTTGTATAGCTGCCAGAAACTCTTTTGCTAATATTGGGTTATTGATAGGGAAGAAGTATTTTTTTAAAGTAGCTACTTGTGTTGGATTTTGAGGAAGAGGCTGTTTCTGCATGAAAAAGTCAGAGGGAACACTTTGAAACTATAGTGTTGGCAGAGAACCTCAACAAAATGGCAGAATTCAATGGAGTCTTTGGGATTACATGGAAATAAATGTCAAGTAGCTGAGTTTAAATTTTGTAATGTGCTAGATAGACATAGTTTTTGTGGTGGTGGATTGAAATAGAGTGGTGGAAGTTTTTCCTCTATAATGTAGTATTTGGCTAGGTATGCGAGCTTTGATGTATTAGTGATGAGAAATAAATTACATATTTCAGGGTTAAGTTCAGAGAGGTGGTCAGAAAGAGGTAGTAGTTGGGTTTCGAAGTAGCTATCATGCAGTTTTTCGAATATGTATATTTTCTGCAGAGCAAGAACGACCGCCCTAATATTACTGCGATCAGTAATGGGTAGTTTAAATGAAAGAATCTGGAGAATATTATCAGTGATGCTACATGGAGAAGAAGGTAAGGTTTTTAGAAAGGAGGTGTAAGCAGAAATTAAAGTAGCTCTAATTTTTTCGAAGTCGAAGAGCATGGTGATTTTTGCGAAATTTAACAGGTAGGTGATATATCTTGTAATATCATGAGGACTTTTCAATATGAAGTCCAAGTTATATAAGAGTTGAGTGCGAGTTTTGCCTTAAGTCTTTGGAAAATTTGGTCCCAGTTGATTTTGTTGATATAATGAGCATCATGGCAACGTTTTTATCTTTTAGTTGCAATTTGTAAGAGAGTTTCGAATTCTTTCTGATGGTTGAGTAGAAGTATTATAAGTAAAGGATTTAAAGAAAGCGGTATCCAAGTGGATAAATTTTTCATTAATTGCAGAAGGTAGATTGTAGGAAGTAGGAATAGAAGTTATTTTGTGAACGAAGAATTCTTCAAGTTTAGTGATATTGTCAAATGCGGAGATAATGTAGTCATTGTGCTATTTAAGTTTGTCAAATTCATCGGTACATTGTGCTGCAAGATCTTTAAGAACTAAGGTGCACCATTGGAAGTCTCAATGGCCCGAAAATTTATGTTTAGGCTTAAGTTTTTGGTTACCTGTAAGTGCAGTAGTATAAGATTTTTTTTGGTAAGAATTCAATTGTAGCATTTGAGTGAGTGTCTATAGGTAGATCTTGGTGGAAGTTGGCAGTAGAGTCAGGTACAAGGGCAAGGTTGTCAGCTGTTAGTAGGCTGGGCTCAGTTGTAAGTGTGTCCTTAGATCTGGAAAGCCTCAGGAGATCAGAAGGTTATAAGTCAACTGCCAAGGTAGGTTGTTGTACCAAATTGGGAATAGTGTTTGTTGTAATGATCGGCATAGGAATTTCTGTAGTTTTTCCCATGCTAGTTGGGGCGGGAACAGGGGCCCAGATCAGTTTGTTGTTTTCTGGGAGTATGGTGTTTTGTCCACTTTGTTGTAATTGTATTGTAAAAGCAGTTGGAGTGGGAGTAGTCAATGAGTAGTCCATTTGAATAACTGTGTTGTTGGGGTCATCTTGTCTGCTTCTTTTTGTGAGAGGAGGTTGTTGAGTGCTTGATTAGATGAGTGGGAGGACTGGCTAGAAGTTGAGATATGTGTGTCTATAGTTAAGATAGGGTGATCGTTAAAGGTGAAAAAAGGTTCAAAAGTCTGAGAAGTGGAGAAAACACAGTCTCTTGTGTGTTTAATTTTGTTCAAAAGTTGTAATACTGTGTGGTATTAGTTTGTTCTTTGTCCCAGAGGACCCAATGTATTATTTATTTAACAAAATACCGAGCTTTGTTAGTTAATTGCTTTTTGTTTACTTAAAATTTTGATTTTTAGGAGTGAACCAGAAAGAGTTGAAACATTATTATTGATTATTTAATATTCTGATACAATACTTATTATTTCTTTATATAAATTTGATATAAATTGTAAGAATTGCACAAATATTTTTAGAACATGATCATATAATTTAGCATTATTCTTAAGGCTTTGACAAGAAATCATTTTATCAAATGATATAGATATTATATTTCAACAAGCTTTAGCAGATCAAAGTATTTTTAATAAAAATTTAGCGATATTTTTTATGTATTAATAAATACCTTCACTCAAACAATTACCATATTTGTGTGACAATAAATACACTTTATTTAACAAGCTATTTTCTCCACAAAAATGTTGAAGACATAACATAAAAATTATAAAGCATAATGAACTTAACAATATACTGCAAGTATATTGTGACCTAAGCCATACTTTATTTGATCAATTCTTGTTGCAACTAGCAAGAACAAAATTAGTACCCTAGCCATGGCGAAAAAAAGTTACAGTCATTGTGAGATTCTACTCAAACCACATGACAATCTACACCATCCAGTCAATCAGTATTGACTATGGTTAATTGAATTTTTATCAATCAATTATATATTTATTAACTTTAATAAAGTGTTTAAATCCTTTTGCTACATACCTTATAAATAATGATTACTTTTAAATTTTATTTTTTATTGTTTCAAATTACACTTGCACAATAACACCAAATAAAAGCATTGCCAGTTTTACCTTTTTTAAAAAAAGATGTTGCTATTGAATTATGAATTAATCAGATATTACATAAAATAAGCATATTTTTTCAATTTAATTTTTATCAAAGCTATGATCGTTATTATTTTTAACTATAAAATTTGCTTAATTTTTCATTTTATATTAATTTTATATTTATTAGTCAATTAAATTTTAATTTAAACTAAATTTTTAAATACAAAAATAAGTAAAGATAGCTTATCTACCAAATCTTAAATACTAAAAAATGTAGTACTTGTCATGTATTAAGACAAAAAAAAAAAATTATTACAAATTCATAGTAATAATTCATAATATAAGTATGAGAACTGCAATATATGCAATATAAAGCATAGTAATAAAATACAAGAAGTAAATTAAACAAATAACACTTAAACAGAAGCTAACCTTGATATAATAGTTCTAACTATAAATGCTAATAAAATTAATTAAAATTTTTTTTTTTTTTTTTTAATATTAAGGTAACCACTTAGGCCCCTGGCACTTTATTAGTTCAAACGGGTGGGCCGTCCGAAGACGGCTTACATATTATATCAGTATAATGAGAGTACAACTAGTCACACGTACAACTTTTGGTTGCCTATTTAAGTAGTCCGCCCGAAGTGTTAGTGCTATGCTAA